ACTTCTGTTTATATATCTGTTATGTATGTATACATAGATAAACATACATGGTAAAGACTTGTATGTCGACCTCAATACCGTTTCAGGATAGAGTGCTACATTTGGTACAGTTCCCTTTTTCAATCTGTATGCAGAAGTGAAGAATTACATTTTTTTTTCTCAGCTACATATCTATCTTCGTATATCTGATGCGCTGTTCTCACTTTCCACTTTAGTTGCCTGAGGAACACGGCGGTCTCCAGATGCCACACACAGCACAAATGATTGCCGAAATGATTATCGGATCAGCGAGCATGTCTATATCCTCATACCCTTCTCTGGCTATGGGTGTGGCAAATGTGCTGGTATGTTGTGTGTTCATCACATAGTACTATTTCACAGTATTCTAGTATGAATCTTTGTTGATTGGTAGTGCATCTACGAAGGTATACATTCCTGGTTGAAGTTACCATATCTATCGTCGACTCACTTGCGGTGTTAATTCCACGTGATCTTCCGATTGATTGTACGTATTCGCATCGCTGGAAAGGTATACTTCAGGCTTATCTTTACCAGCGGAACCATTGCACGCGGTCAGTAAATACGTTGGCCAGCTGTTCGTAGCACAACGTCTGTTAAGAGTGTCCTACAGCCGTTACGCAGCACGCCATGTTAAGTAGTGTAATGTAAATTTCTGTGTATACCATTTCGCAATCTCATCCAACTTCTACATTCTATCAAATGTGGTTCAAATCGTCTGTGTGTGGGTGTGTGTACCGCCAGCATCTTGTATACCTTACAAGTACACATTCAAAGTGTCAGTACAGGCGCTACTTGCGAGTGCAGGTTGCACGAACACGGCCGCGTGCGTCAACAAACTGATATGCTGCCATTCTTCTGTCGATGTTAATTCAATTGCACTGAATGCTCATATACTTCCTGCTTTCATATAAATCTACAGTCGAGATTCGGATCTGACGAACAGAGAGAAAGGTTCCTACCGCACATCCTATCGGGTCGATTCATGGGTACTATGTGCCTCTCAGAGCCTCAGGCAGGGTCATCGCTGGCTGACAGTAAGTGCCTTTTCTGGCCTGCAACTCTCGATTTGAGTTTGTAATTCAAGTGCTTAACTGGCTCGTCTGTGCTGGATACTATATGGTCCATGGTTCGTATATATGGCCCGTCGCTTTCCTTTATGGACAGCGTACCACGCTTCAGAACATGTTGGCATTTTTTGTGTGGCGCTTACGGTCAGCTGATATAGTGTACCGAGACGAGAGCATATACACTTGCAAATCATCAATGAGCTTGTAGTATCAAAAACGTTACAGTATATTCCGTTATGATGCCTAAAGAGATTGTGTTGTAGACTAGACTCCGTTTTGAAAGGCTTCGACACACCCGTATTGCTAGACAATTAAGATCGACTCAATTTTTTCAACTTTGTAGTTTCAACCATTGCGACGGAGATGGACTCGGAGGGAGGTAATGGCAAGAGATTCAGTGTGAAGGGAAACAAGATGTGGATTAGTGGTGGCGAGCAGGTATGCTTCTGTAGTCAAATGCAGTACTGCCCTGCAACTATATGTCTCTGTATAGAACTATGGATGGTTCGGACTGTGGAGTTAACGTAAATGTACCACCATAATCTTATAGGAGTCCTCAGTAACTTACAATACCCATTTGCACATCTGATAAGCGGTTGTACCGACAGTATTTTGTGTATCTATTTTTAACTATAAGTGATTTTTGTATATATTTTCGGAGTTATGAATTCCAGACGAAACCGTCGCCAATATGCCTCAATATGCCTCGGTGGAGCAGCCTATACGGAATTCAGTGGTAACGAGAGCGTCTACTGTGCACAGTTTGGTATATTGATAACGTTGGCAGTCATTGTTGGTCTTTGCGTATACTAGGGATGTACCTATCAACCTTGCTAGAGACCTCATATCTGTACATCGGAACGGCATCGGCAATGGCCAGATGGCCCGCGTGTATGCATTTGTAGAAGTAGAGAATGTCTTTCTGTATTCACAATGTTTGGCACGCTCTGATAGTTCATACGCCCTCACTCACACACTTCTCTAGGATGCGACGGACAACATAATCCACTTGGTCCTTGCGAAAATCAAATCACCGGACGGAAAGGTTGCACCCGGTGTCAAAGGCATCTCCATGTTTATCGTACCCAAGCACGACTTTGACTTTGATGGCGAACCACCCGAGGTCGACCTGAGTATGTGATGGAAGTTCATATCTTTGTACTTATAATACAGTGTATACTATTTTTGAATTGCTATGTGTTATTGAATCTCTTGTTCTCTAGCTCTGATTGGCATTCCATTGAAAAATTGCACTGGATTTTACACGCACAGTCACTGAGTTAAGTGCGTGGAAGCTATGCTGGACGATGCTCACCTCGTTGAATAGCCGACTTGCATATGCACAAAGCTATTACTGACTGCCAAAAAACTGGTTCAAGAATTTCTATTAGGTACCCGCTACCACAAAACTTATTCAAGAATTTCTATTAGTTACCCATTACCACAAAACTAGTCCAAGAAATTCTTTTCGCAAAGATTCATTCAGTCGATTTGTTTTTTTTGCTATAAACGGTGAGTAAGCGTCAGAAACGCCGATTCATCATAACGGAAATACTTTGCATCTACTTGCTCATACTTATGGGGCTGTGAGCGTTGGCTCTAAAGAGTGACAAACATTTACTATGATCCAAGCACTCGTCATTTACAAGCAATATACTTACGAGAACACGTGGCCGTCTCACAGAGGGCCACAGCACAAATGGAATTGAACTGCTTGGATTAAATGAGAAATTGGGGTGGAAGGGAACCACAAATACCGCACTAAGCTTCGGAGACAGCAGTGAAAGCGTGGGATACTTGGGTATGCAGCAGTTCTTTCTTGTCTCGTTCGGTTGATTTTACTTGTGGACTTGAATTCGCGAACTTGGGCCTTTTCCTATAGAATTATCTGGAATGTAGGTCTACTTCTAATAAATGTTAGGTGGGCTTGGTACACGTGGTCTTGGTATTTGCCACGCGAATATAAATTTATCGGCTATTTAGAACCAACAGCGCGTATACGAGGACATATCTACACGCTAATATCGCATTACATGCTTACAAAAATGGACGGACGCGCTTCTTCCAAATGTGTCTTCGATTTTCGACCTGTATATCTCTGCTTAATTACTTTGCACCTCCTTGACAGTTGGTGAACCGGGCCGTGGGCTTGAGTACATGTTCCTGATGATGAATGGTGCGCGAATTGGTGTTGGGTATGTCTACAAAATAATAGTGTGCTGTTGACTGCCGAGTATATGCAAGTATTTATATATATATATTTGTACTATATATAGATATACATATATGTATATACCAATTATCCTTAATGTTAATAGTATTTCATTTGACCTGGAGTGTGATTGTGGGTTTTCAGCACTTGCATAAATACTACTAACCCGGGGTGCGTCACTCTGTATCTATTCCGGAGTACTTGCGTGCTCGTCTATATTGTACTCGAGGCCTGCGAGTACTACCAGACTTCTTAATCTGCATGAGATACAAAACGCACCTCACAGCCCGTGCTCGTGGTCACGTTTCACACTTCTAACTAATCTTCTCACTCCCATCTACTCGATACTCTTGGTCTGGGCGGATACGATAGATTGGCTGCTACAGCACTAGGTATGGAGTGTCAGCACATGGCCATGTGGAATATGGCGTAGATAATTCAGGTTGTGACAGTTTTAAGTACGGCGATGTGTCATCCGTACGACCATTCTATCCTAGTTTACGTTTTGACTGTGTTTGACTGTGCAACGCATTGTTTCGCAGGCGACAACCGTATTGAATAAATACAGTTGTGTCGCTGTCTCTTAACCCTGCTAAGAGGATGCTCTTCGTCCCCACTACCGTGGGATCTATTATATATATATATATAGTGTATGTGCGTGTGTGTATATGTGTATGTGTGTGTTCCATTTAACACCTGGATATGAAGTCAGTTGTCACGGTTTTTAACGTCTTGCATTCGCCACATACTCAGGTGGTCTTGGATATCGAGCTTCCCTCGCATATGCACTGGACAGGAGACAAGGCCGACCTCAGGTCAAATCGAAGGTGAGTAAACGAACTTTTTTGTATTTTTTTTGAGAAAAGAAGGAAAAAGAAAAATATTTCCTCTGACGGTACTCGAAACCGCGACTTCACGCTTCGTAGGCGTGCGCTCTACCAACTGAGCTACAGAAGATATGTAGAGGGTCATATGGTTAAATATGTAACTTATCTAAGATATAAGTCTACATCAAATGGTATAAATATGCACTAATACAAACTATCACATCGTCGACACAGGACGGACCAGTGGCCCAGGTACCCATCATACAGCACGCAGACGTTCGCCGTATGCTGATGGCACAGAAGTGCTACGTAGAAGGCAGTCTCTCATTGTGCATGTATGCGGCGTATCTGCTGGATGACTCTAAAACCGCAGCAACGCCCGAAGAGCGCAAGACATCGTTCGAGATGTTGGACCTGCTCACACCCGTTGTCAAGTCGTACCCCTCTGAGTGGTGTCTGGAGGTATGCGGGTGGGTTAGAGTTTAGGGTATTAGGGTTGTATTATGTTCATCTTGTCAGTCAAGCAAAGAAATGGCCTATCCGAGTGTTTGAGTGATTTGGCTACCCCAAAGTCATCTGACAGAGATCACTACGATCCATAAGGTTCTTGAGGTGCATCCATTGATACAACTACTTTCGTCCTACTATGCAGGCGAATAAGTGGGCCATTCAAATCCTAGGCGGATGTGGCTACACCAAGGACTTCCCAGTGGAAGAATTCTACAGAACGAATCGCCTGAATATGATCCACGAGGGCACTAATGGCGTACAATCATTAGGTGAGGATGAGTCACCTTGTGTTTGCATTGGTGAAGAAATATGCGCGGGCATTAATACACACTAACAACAATCCATGAGCATCTCTGCATACATACAACGCAACTGCGCACGTACACATATATGATCTTGTCTATTTACTACAAAACGCGTAAAGGGATTCTCGAGAGCAACGATATGTCGCAGTTCAAAATACAATTCAGGCTTGCAGCTTATGCGATTTATACCAATCTCCTTAATATTCACATATACATATATATGTAGCTGGAGATACTCATGAATTTGCTGTTTATTCTAGATCTGCTGGGCAGAAAGATTGCCCGAGACAATGGAAAGCAATCACAGCTGCTGTACAAGGACATGCGCGACAGCTGTGAGAGTGCCAAAGCTCTTGGTAACAACAAGATGGCCATGCACGCGCGTGATCTTGAATCAGCCATCAACGAGGTGGATTCGGCGACCAAGGTGAGCGGTAGTGCTATTATCGAGCCTTGTTTCTGCAGCACTTTCCCACATACCTAGTTCGGCACTATTGTTTGAAATGTCGGGACTTTGGCACCAATGGCTGAAATTTTGTACTTTCCTCATATGCAATGACATGCAGACGTTGCTATCCGAATCAAAATCTGTGGATGGCCTTCTATGTAATTCGCACGAGTACCTCAACATGTTTGGAACCCTCATCATGTCCTGGATGTGGCTGAAACAGGCGTCCATTGCCACGAAACAGTTGGAAACAAACAGTTTAATCAGGTGTGTGTTTCGTATATATACACATAATTGCTTGTTATTAGAGAATATTTTGTATTGCAAACTGTACGTTCGTACAGTCAATTCACACGCATTGCATAAGCACATTCGGATGCCTGCCTGCATCCACACCCCATCTGTGTGCATTCAATTTTTGACGTGTATGTAAATTACACCAATTGCGTCTAGATTAAAGTATTACACAACAATTCGCAAAGCACCACTTAACAATACCAAATCGATTTTCTGCGCTAACATTTGCAGCGATACTGATCGAGTCTTCTACGAGGGCAAGCAGCTGGCATGTGAATACTTCTACAGGTACGTGCGATGAGTTTACTGCGGTGATTAGTATGAACCATACCATACAGTCAGCCACTGGGCCTAGTGCATAGATGCCACTCGTGTCTCACAGTCTATACACCTGCTTAAATAGAAGTCGTAGCTTTCGCGCACTTTTACACAGATTTAATGTATAACTTCGTCACGTTCAAGCAGCCTGCCTTTGTTTGTGTTTCTGTACGTGCATTCATATGCATCTCGTTTTGAATTATACTTAATTGGAACACAATTTTTAGTTTCCGAGTTCGATTAGAAGAGTGCACTGGCGGAGCGACAGTCTATGGGTGGTGATGTGTAGTTGAGTGTCTTGTTACCTTAGTATTATCAGGGTACATGAGCAAGTCCTTCGATCTTCCCGCACCGATTTGATTACTATATAACGGCAGTTGCTATAGATGCAAGTAATTTCGCGAGACGATCTCGTCAGACTTCTGACATATCAGTGTTGTATGCACAGCCACACTCGTTCAGAATTTCTTCTGGTATTGTCTGCGGTAATACACAAACCCATATACGAGTACATGCACATGGCTGTCTCAATGTGCAATCAGACAAACTCATAAACACTGAAATCTGCCTACAGATATGATACACCTTCTATCACAACGAAAGCGCGACTGGTGTCTTCGCTCGACGATACGCTGCTGCGTGTAGATCCTGTGCACTTCTAATTACTCAACTTGTACGCCTTAAACCTTTGCTGCCTTAGTGAAGTCACGTTGGTTTATGTACAACTAAAAGTATTAAAAAAACATTAAAAATGTACACATGTATGGTGTTTGTTTATATATAAAATCAGCCATGGCTAGCGTATGCATTGAAAGAAAGGGGATCGCAAGGATTGATCGCACCATAACTACAAGCGTTTTATTACTCCGTGCACTGTTGCTCGCTGCCTAGTTCAATGCACGGTATCTTTGCGTCTATCTCGTATTCTCACGAGAGTTACAGACTCGACACTCAGCGCCGTACACGGCCACAGTGGCACAACTTCATATTATAACTTCGATTCAATGAACGCGTAGACATTATCAATGTCACATTGCGAACATAATGTAGACATGATATAGACGGCTGTACGCTTCTTCACGTACACGGCCACAGTGGTACAACTTCATAATATAACTTTGATTCAATGAACGCGTAGCTATACAATGACACATTGCGAACATAATGTAGACATAATACAGACGGCTGTACGCTTGTTCGGAAGGATTCAAGATTTGCTACGTCCTATTGCCTATTACGAGAAAGTGCTCGTAATTGAGCTGGATCGCTATGATCACTATGGGAGGAGCTGTATATATTAGTGAACGAATGCAAACGAAAAAAGATTCTAAGATACTTTTCTTTATACTGTACTGGTAGGGTCTTCATCTAGAGACACAGCCTTAAAAATGTCAGTCCATTGTAGGCGTGTGGCTTCTTGTAATGTGTGATTACAAGTGATTTAAAAGATACTATTATTTATACTGTACTGGTAGGGTCTTCGTCTAAAGGCACAGCCTTAAAAGTGTCAGTCCATTGTAGGCGTGTGGCTTCTTTTAAAGTGTGATTACAAGTGATTTAAAAGATACTTTTATCTATACTGTACTGGTAGAGTCTTCATCTAGAGGCACAGCCTTTAAAGTGTCAGTCCATTGTAGGCGTGTGACTTCTTTTAATGAGTGAAGACAAGCGATTTAAAAGATACTTTTATCTATACTGTACTGCTAGGGTCTTCATCTAAAGGCACAGCCTTTAAAGTGTCGGTCCATTGTAGGCGCGTTGCTTCGTTCGCCGCCAGTTCAGCGGTTTGCTCGCGCTGAGGGTTCTCCTTCAACTGTAAGGTGTTAGGTACGAGGACAAGGTGATGGTTAAGATATCGGCACAGGATCAACGCCTTCGAACCCACACTTACGATGTAATAAACAGACGGATATGAGTGTAATAAACCTCACAAACTAATATAGAAACCTAGCTGTTTTGAAGTGGACGGAGGTTGGAAACATGGTCGCATAGTGTAGAATTGCTACCATGTGATGAGGATACCATCTTGTAATTGTAAGTGGTACTGCAGCTCACGATTGAGCACCGAATGGAGAGTGTGGAGCCAAAAGCTACCACAGCAACCAGTGCTTTGGTCTGGAGTTGTCTGGGGATTTGTGATGTCGTGAAAAGGCGTATGTCAACGTAGGAAGCTTGTACATAGCCACAAGTGTGTGTGTCGGTACACCGACAGGTGTTGCGTGCACTGTAGTCTCACATGGGTGTGTGTACGTAGGTTTTGTGGATGTGTTCACACTCTTTTATCTTGCCGTAGTGTAAGTATGTATCCTACATGCTTCGCTGGCACGTTCAGCTGCGACGGTATATTACACGTATGCACCCAGTGGACAACCGAAAGTTGAGTCTGCACGGTCAACGCGCTCTGACCTCTGTATATGCATAATATGTACGCCTTGACTAGAGAATAATGTGCGTGAGTTTATAACATGCTCTAACCTGTCAGCTATAAAGAAATTGCGAAAGAACAACCGGCGCATGAAACGCGACATATAAACCGTACACTTGGTCTATATGGAGGGCCGTAAAAAACCCGTACTCGAAACATACCCGACGACTGTAGCAGTATATCGTAACTAGGTCATTCTTTTCCGTCATCCTATACAGGTGGTACTCCGATCCGTAGTCCAAACTGTATTCAAACATGAGCTCTGTCGCGCTTTCTTCGATCTACGAAAGAGATTTACAAACCCGTCTCAGTTTGAAGCTGGTGATAGACCGCGCCAGACTCAGCTTACGGTATCGGTCACAAGCTAGTGGTGCTGATGCCATGGCAGTAGAAAGGTCGATAGAACCAAAAACATAGGCAAGCTTGCGTACTCACGGGACGTATATGCAGCTGATGCGCACATGTCTTGTATCTGTACTTGACCCCACATAGACAACCACACGCACAAGCATGTTAAACACAATCCATGTATATACGCCAACCATTGCTATGAAGACTATACCCTATTGCCTATCTGCCCCTGCCACTCCCATCAAAAATGTGTGGCTACTTTCTATGCAAACACGACGGGTACATCTCTGATCAATATATATCACTAACCGGTGCAACGTGGCTGTAACCAAAAGACATACCACTTGCCAGTACAGCACTGCTCGCTGAGATTTAGTGGCCACCCACAAGTCTTTCATATGCCGCCTGAGAGACTACCACCCGTTCCAACGAGTGGGGGACATATTCAAAACAGATGTGATTATCCATTAGCACAGCTACAGTCGAGATCATAAAACGCTTTCGATCAAATGCCAAACATCAGCCGACGTCTTGTTCGTTATAGTCCCAAATAGAGCGCAGTAAAGCGTTTTTGTGGGCAAACCCAAAATGAATCACTACGTTTATTCATGCCAAAGAGCTGCATGCCGAACAGTTCATCTGCACATGCATATGCCTCGTAACAGGTCACGAATACCTTGATCGAGCATATTTCGGCTCGTTTATCTCGGAGGGTGGTCAGATACTACCTTTTTTGAACACATATAAAGAACGAATCCGACTATACAACTGCTGCTTATTTTGTAGTGTCCTCGAAATCATACAGTGGCACAACTCTCAGCACGCTATGGTGAGCATTTGATAGATAAACAGGGCCCACGGCATTCAAGATCAGTGACGAACACTTATGCAACGGTCATGGATGGATGTGTAGGTGTATGCGTCTATGTGTTGTATATGCCCTGGTAAAATTGTCCACGCAAATGCTGTGTACTGAACACTTATGCAACGGTCATGGATGGATGTGTAGGTATATGCGTTTATGTGTTTTATAAGCCTTGGTAAGATTGTCCACGCAAATGCTGTGTACTACCTTGTCCTGCTTCGGCTCAATCATGGAAACAATCATCTCTGTCCAGTTATCGCGCGTCTCGCCTGTGGGAAGATACTCGGCCTACAATAGAACGGATGCCGTGTAATATGCGTTAAGGTGTTCTTGTTGGTACATGATGTTTCCTATATTTCTAAATGACCCATGTCGTAGGAATATGTCGCACGTCGTGAACGACATCATTCCGGATCTTCAATCTGCGACCTGGGGATCAAAATCAAGATATGCTATACGGTACTTTTGATAGCCTTGAAACTTCTGTTCGAACGCTGACATAGGTGCTATCACAGATATATGGTCAGATTCCTGAATATATATAAAATACAAGTTATGTGTATAGTATACTCACCGACATGCTGTGTTCTTTAAAGGAACATCTAACACGAAAGCTGCATAACCTCCAAGAATCCTACCATTGCAGTTGCGTGATCTTCGTTATAGTATGTAGACAACCTCCATCGTTGGCCATTGAGTATGAATGGGGGTGGCGCCACACTGCCAGCTGCGCGCAATCCTCCACACGACTCGTCTTTGTGACTTGTAATGGCACTGTGGTTGTAGTTGTGTTCATTGCCCGAGATTTGTGCTTCAACTGTTGAGTGACGAAATAAACCTAAAATGAGTATTATATTTGTATAATATAGATATAGATACAAATATAGATAAAGATATAGATATAGATATAGATATATATATATATATATAAATATATTCAAATATAGGTTTAGATGTATATATATATATATATATATATATATATATATATATATATATATATATAGTATATATATAATATATATATATATAATAATATAATAATAATATAATATATATATATATATATATATATATATATATATATATATATATATATATATTGCGATCATTTGTGCCTAGTGTTTCAGACGTACATCAGATAACCCTAATGATATCGAACATTGCAGTAGTGACTCAAATGCATGGCCTCCCAAGGCACACAGGCATACACACACGTAGGTACTACGAAAACACAGGATGATACCCTAAAACCCAAAAAACTCTGGAATTCGGCGACGTGTGTTGATATTTATGTGCGTGCTGGTATCTGGATCACGTATGTGCACGTGTTAGTACATGCAGAATAGTATATTGGCCGTGAGCCATCTATTTGTATCACAACATGTGCATGTATGTAGTGTACTGAAATTCGGTCACGTATTGAC